GTTCTTCACTGCTAAAAACCAGAGGCAGTGCATTTAGGGAGGGGTAGATAATGCAATACATAAAACACACAGTCAGTCATCAACAGACAAGAAGCAAGGTAGCTTGGAGTGCAGGTCTGCAGTTACCAAAAACGTAATTTTACCGGTCTTGCTAAAGATCATAAGATTATAGGAGCAGAATTAGGCCATTTGGCTAATCAAGTCTGCTCCACCACTTGATCTTGGCTGATATGTTTCTCAGTCCCATTCTCCTGCCTTTTCCCCATAATCTTTGATCCCCTTACTAATCAAGAACTTAGCTCAGTCTTAAAATACACTCAATGACTTGGCTTCCACAGCCTTCTGCAGCAATGAGTTCCACAGATTCACCATCATCTGGATGAAGAAATTCCTCATTTCTATTCTAAAGCGTCATTCCTTCAGAGCTTGTCCCCTCAGGTCCTACTGTCTCCTACTACTGGAACATCTTCTCTATATCCAGTCTATCCAGGCCTCTTAATATTCTGTAAATTTCAAATCAGAGCCCACCTCACCCTCCTAAACTTCAAGTACAGATCCAGAACCAACTGCTCCTCATAAGCCCTTCATCCCCAGGCTTGTTCTAGTGAACCTCCTCTGGAATCCCTCCAAGGTGGGCACATCCTTCCTTAGATACAGGGTCCAAAACAGCTTATGATGTTCCAGATATGGTCTGCTCAGAGCCTTAAACATCCTCAGCAGTTCATCTGAGCAGTAAATTAGATACCTTCCTTTCAGCAACAAAATGAAGTCATCACAGATTAATTTAGAATATGGTTTGGTTTCAGCTATAGCACTGTAGCTGTAGAACTAAGCATAGTCTCATCACTACATTAAAAGGAATGATATTACATGAAAGGATTCAGTGAAAACTTCAGAAGTTGTAAAATTCTTTCCATGTGTAAAAACTGTAGGAGAATTTAAAAACCAGGAGCATAGTTTTTGAAAAATTGCAAAAAAGGAAAAAAAAACAAAGTGGAAGAACATGAGTGATCTTCCCCCCACCCACAGGACAGTGGGAGTCTGGAACCCTATCAAAAAGAGCGGTAGAGACAGAAATCCTAATCATGTTTAAAACAAACACATGGATATGCAGTTGGAGAACCTTTTGACCAGCAGAGACATGGACCACACCAAACACACCCTTTGCATGACAAATTGTTACATTAGGTGCTTGCACTGGTTTATGGCAAGGGGTAATTGTCCTACTTTTCGTGACAAAGTGTGTCATAACTTGTCCAAACTGATTGCTTAAGATGCTGCTTTTAAGATGCTGAGTTGTGGGTTGGTTAAGGTGCACACAAAGCGTTTAAGCAGAGTCTTTGCTCGAGGTAAAACATCTTCCTCCCCCCATCACCCCCACTTCAAAAATCAATCCTGAAAATATGGCTTCAAGACCTCAACAATTGCTTCCCTTGGATTTATTCATACACCTTAGGGTTTGATCATTCAAATGTAGCCCCTCATTTAAAAATAGAAATCAATTCAAAGACGATGTAATGGTCACCTTCTATTCAAATTGTGTCATTTAGTAACAAAATTCCATTTCAATATGCTTATGATTTGTCAGAGATCAGATAACCTATATTTTAAAGACATTAGATAATAGATTTAAAACAAGGAACAGGTTGTAATTGCATTATAAATAAAAGTGGAAGTGCAAGATAGAAATAGCCTCTGTATAGGCAAGTAGTGAAGTGTATCCGTATCAAATCAATTTACAAACCCAGCAACCACTTTATACAAGTATCACGATTGACTTCAAATATATCCTGAAGTGATCCATCATTTACAAACTGTTATAAAAGCAAGAAAAAAATGCAAATACCAAAAAAAAACAAATAAAACAAAACCAAGGAAGAAAAAAGTTCTTGAACATCTATCATCTTCTCAGGCAAAGTAGGCATGAACAATTGCTGGTGACACCCGATTCCAGAAAAGGAAAAAAAAACCACAAGATGAGCAGGGTACGATATTTGAAAAGGGATTGGAATACACAAATTCTCAGATCTATCTAATCCCACACTCCCCTTAAATCATGACTTCCCACTTGGTGCATGGAATTAGTGAATTTAACCAACAGTCTAGACCACCATATTTCTCTCATAGATGATGTTCATGTATCAAGTGCCTCTACCCACTTCAAAACTTCTCTCATTTCAATCTGCAAAGCTGAATGAACATACAGAAATACATAAGCTGAGTATTGACAACCAAATCACATTAATTGTGCAATGATACAAAGTGGTTGAGGTTTCTAGTCAGAGATCAGTAATACGGCTAATAAGTTAGAAACACTCAACAATGCTGTTTAATTGCACCACCTGAATAAGAACTGCAAGTGGTGTGTTTTAATAGATGAGAACAGCAGACTTCTGCCCATTTTACTCTGTGGTCGAGCCAACTGGCCAGCTCATCATTTTCCTGTACCGAAACAGAAATTGCTGAACTGGGAACAGAAAACAGAACTGAGGAAGGGTCACTCAACCTGAAATGTTAACTGATTTCTCTCCACCGATGCTGCCAGACCTGCTAAGCTTTTTCAGCAGTTTCTGGTTTTGTTTGATTTACAGCATTTGGTTTTCATCTTTTTGTGTTTTGTGCTCAGGTGCAAGTGGCCTTACAGTTGCAAACACACACAACAATTTGGTTTTTAGAGAACTGGCAACAGTTTGCTGATCATATCGCAACCCTTACAAAGGCAATCGCCCGAAGTCCTTTCAAGTAAGTTAAACTTCACTTTAAGCAGGTATTTACTAAAAGCTGTACAGAGAAGTGATACAGTTTCTCTCTCAAAAGAGAAAATTGGGAGGAACCAGTCCTTCTGTCAGATACAAATTTAAAGCTTAATTTTGATTTCCTCAAAGTGATTGGTACAATAGTTTGGAATCACAGGGTCCAAAATGTTGATACTGCTGCAGAATGTTTGATTCAATGCCAGAAGGAAGCAGGACAGACGTCAATACAGCAAGTTGAAATCATTGCTAAGAAGTGTTAACTTCAATTGTTTTCCTACTCCTGCTAAATAAATGTGCTCCAAAAAAGGAAATCCTTGTCTGATGGTATTACCATGCAGGAAGACATTTATGCAAAATTTTTAAGCAAGAAATTAAAAACTTCATTTCTATGTAAATGATGACTTAGTTATATTACATTTTTCAGGTGATTAGGAAGGAATATTTAGCCACAAGTAAACCATTGATCAGGCAACATTATTAATGGATTTTAACCCCCCTGCCCCCAGCCTTGTCATGACATCTAGAACCTGGTCAAAATTCCTGATCTTTTTCTTGCATGCAATGACCAAGTTGGTGTAAAGTGATCACAGTAATTTTTTTCTTTATTCATTAACGGGATGTGGACATTGCTGGCTCAGCAGCATTGATTGGACAATTTGGAACGGGCAGAGGGCAGTTCAGAGTCAACCACATTGCTGTGGGTCTGGAGTCACATGTAGACCAGACCAGTTGAGGATGGCAGTTTCCTTCCCTAAAAGGAGATCAGTGAACCAGATGGGTTTTTCCAACAATCGACAATCGTAGTTAGATTCTTAAATTCCAGATATTTTATTCATTTCAAATTCCACCATCTGCTGAGGTGGGATTTGAACCTGGGTCCCCAGAACATTATCTGGGTCAACAGTCCAGCGATAATACCACTAGGCCATCGCCTCCCCCTACTATGTGGCTTATTTACAGTTCTATAAACTCTGCTGCACAAGAGTTTATACAATTATAGACAATTAAGAAATTCCAAATGCAAAATTTAAAAGCATGTTCACAAACAAATTAAACTTTTGAAATAAAGCAGCAACATCTTTTGACAAGATACTCTTGTGAAAATAATTTTGTTTAGAAAGCAGACAGAGAAAATGACCTTCTCGTTCTGCCCTGATGGGACGTGGTCCACTGGTGTGAAAGTGGATAAGGATGGAAAGGGCCTCCTGAAGTTATGGAAGAAACAGCTTCAGCAGCTGAACAGGATCACCCAACCAGTGGCAATGGCTATAGCACAAGCCTATCCTACACCAAAGCTGCTCTTGCGGGTAACGGCAGTCATCAAATCTCTGCCATTTGTTATTCATTGTTCATACCTGCTAATATTTTCCTCTTTCTTCCCATTGATTCTATTTTACATTCGTCATCCTGACAAGGTATTTACAGTGAAATCTCAATTATCTACAATATTCCACATGAATTAACTTCAAAAATTTTTGTGAAACAAACAGCTTTGAAGCAGATATTGGTTCACAATCCAGCCAGCTACATATGCAGTGGATAATTATTCAAGCCACTCCAATTTTAGCTTTAGACCAAGAAGAGACTGCAAAAGGGATTTCTCAAATATCATTTTTTAAAAAAAAAATTGGAAACATTGGTCTTACCAACACATTTCAATTTATCTAATTCATTTTCTAACAGAAGAGGCAGTTTAACAAAAGGGAGTAGGCTATATGAATCTTCCGATCCAATGAAAAGCTAGAAACCAAGTGGGGTAGAGGGGACTCAATTTTTGTTTACATTTGAATTACTTAATTATTTAAACTGATTGCATGGTTAGTTAACTCCACAATTATTTAACATGCAATTAAAGGCTTTTGTGACAGTGGTTGAGTTCGAGGACCACCTGTTCCAGACAAGTTGATTAAAAATATCTGGACATGAAAACTACCAGGGTGACAGGTAGTATAGATGGCAGCATTTTGTGATGCAGTGGCAGCGTCTCTTCCTCTGGCCCAGGAGGCCTGGGCTCTAGTCAAACCTCAGGATGTGTTAGTCAGAGGTCCAAAAAGGCTGTGTACAGAAAATGGATGTGTGGCAACTGGAAATTTAGGAATTTCTAGATGGGGAGAAAAAAGGACACGATCTTATGATTCCTCTCCAGTTTGGACGATAATTGAGGTTTGATTGTACTTTCATTACAAATAAACAGAAATAAAATCCATTTTTACAATTAAGCAATACACATCAAGCCACAAATGATAGGACCAGAGTCATTGCATTAAAATGGTGATTTTCTTTGCTAAAGTAATGTGGAACACAATTTTCTAATATAAAAAGAAAACTGTTCAGCCCACTGAGCTCTCAGATATTCAAGTCCCATCCTCCAGATCACGTTTTCCTTCATTTGGGATATTTATTTGCTTCCTTTTTAAATGCAATGATTTGATTGCATTTAGCAATTGTGGTAGGGCATGCTGTGCCCAAAACTTAAAATCTCTTAACTTTGCCCTTTGTTCTTCTGGTGAAGAATTTATACTGTACAGCCAGTCATCCCTCTTTACAATGATCAAAATCGCTTGCAACTTACTACATCTTTTAATTGGAACAAAAATTTCTACTGAAAGACCTCTAAGTCTCAAGTAGCACAACTGGCTCACATGTAAATATCGTAACTTCTCTGGCTGTGATACCTTGACAGAAAAAAAAAAGACAAGCAGCTAAAACAGACCACAATAGTCTATTTCAAGCCATCATCTAGATATTAAGATTAATTGGTTTGTGGGGTTTCATTTATAAACCAGAATCACAAACATTTACTTTCCTGCCCACCCACTTGGGAAATTGTTTAACTGAACCCCTAAATTTCTCTATCCCTGATTATTTTATCCCCTAAAAAGTTATGTTCTATTTCCTAATGCACCACCTCAATTTTCTACAAGTCACTGGGCATCAGTTGAAGATAGGGTGCAAGTTGGTATTCAAGGTCCTGTGAAAACAAGTATGACCTACAGAAAGCTTAATATCTGTACCAGCTTTTCACTGGAGCAATCCAAAACTATATCCCATTTCCTACTTTCTCCTCAAATAGTCCAACTTTCCAGATTGGATTGACTGTTTAACCATCCGAATGGCAAAGTACTCTATGAAAGAAAATTTATTTTAACCTCCCTACATCACACAATGTTAAAATGAACCCCAGTTGCTGACTCTGCAACTAAAAATGGGACCACCATTGTACCCCAATCAAGAGAGAGACCAAGGAGGCCAACTGAAACATCAGGCCCATCCCATTTATTCATTGTGCCAGTGAGGATCATGACAACCCCACCCTCCCCAACTGATAAAATTAAGTAGGCCCTTGAGCCCACTCAACCATTCAGGCATGTCCATGGCTGATCCTTATCGACTTTCCCTTTATATCATATTGCTCAATTCCCTGATAGTTCTATCAGGGTTGTTCACAGGGCATCTTGCTTACATTGTCGTCATGTAGCAGATGACAGTATTCCTGTTAGATTGGTTTCTTCCCTTAAATGAGGGGAGTAATTACATTTGCTCACATCTTTGCATCATTTGAGAAGGCATTCCTCCAATGTCTTTGCAAAGAGTAGAACATCAGTCTCAATATAGACTGCTTTGATCCTTCAACTATTAAAACGTCAGTTCCAAAAACTCACATTAAAACCTGTTGCATTTAAAGTTCCCCATCTATGATGTCAATTCCCATTCCTAATTTCTGGATTAGTAAACTTGCAGTTTTGTTATTTAAACAATAAAGTGGTCAAGAGAACATTGCAGTAGTTCAATTCAGGGTTTTTACAGCAAGAATGCACTCTGAGAAAAGTTAGCCATGCTGCATTGTTAGAGATCTGGATTCCTTTTTTGGAATCAGTGACACTGCCCTTCCTGATTTCATTTCTCAGGAGTCTAATCACTGACCATGTATTCCAGGTGCCTTCTATATTTTTGCTATTTTGTCTTCAATGAAGCTTCAATTTGGGCGCATCTATTTCTTTGAACTATGCTTTTGTTGATAAAAGTTTCTGCCGGTTATTTTGGTTGTGTACACAAAATTTTCTCCCCCAGCTTGGCTTCATTTTCTTCTGTTACTGGTCTGAAGTTGTATTTTTTAAATTTGTATTTCTCTACCCAAGAAAATTTTTTTTTTTTTTTTTAAAAAAAAGCTAAAGTTTAAATTTGTACCAACATAATTAAAGATTCCCCAACAACATAACTAAGCTTCCCCATTAGTTCTACTTTCTTGAAAGATGTACTTTTATCTTGATGTTTCTCCTAGTCAATATTTATAAAATCAATACATCCCAATGTCAGTGTTCCTTGATGTTGCCTTATTCCTGCATCACCAATTTCAAGCCTTACAACTAAATCCAGCAACCACAAAAAAGATGAAATAGTATTCTGATTCACATTAAACATGTTGCAGAAATTCCACTCCACAGCACTTCTACTCCTCTTACCCAATTTTATCTATGGATAATCAGTCACACATTTTAGTGCAACACAAAATTTTGCACATGCAGGAAAATCAAAAATTAAAACCAGGGAACTAGTCAGCAGGTCAGACAGAAACTGTGCAGTGAAGCATTAAGATCAGAAGAACATGTTTTTATTTCTGCATCTTCCTAAGCTTGGCCTAATAATCCACGTGTCCCTTTTGCATTTGTTTCCAAAGGACCAACAGTTCCCTTGTACCTGGACTTTGTACCATCCCCTTTTCCATTCAATATTCAGTCAATTATAAACCAACTGTTAAAAGCTTTGTTGAATGTTTTACTTTTATGCAGACAAAAATGAAGCTTCTTAAAGATTCACTCAATTGTACCTCAACATTTATGCATTTCAAAGGCTTATAGACAATGCAGCACAGAGTGGGAGAAGCAGAATCTTCTATCAGAGGTTAAAGTGTATGCGGCAGGAAAACGTGTGGATCGAAGAGTTGGACCAGACATATCACGCAGGTTATATATTTTCATGACATCGGAAAACTCTGACATAGTTTTGGACAAAAGTGGTTAAATACATGGATCAAATAGGATTCATTTTATCATTTGCCTTTGAACATCAGTTATCAGAAGAAAAAAATAGGCAAAGTAGGTATATAATAAAGGGTATTAACCAACATAACACTCAGTTTAGAGAGCTGGACACACGGTTAGTAGCATTTGATAACTTTTGTATATGACATGACAAATTTAAAATTAGTTTACTTTATTAGCCTAGTATTCTAAATTTCTCATCCACTGTGACACAGTCGTACAGCATGGAAACAGACTCTTCAGCTAAACTTGTCTGTGCCAACGAAACTTTGCAAACTAAACTAGTCCCATTTGCCTGCATTTGGCCCATATCCCTCTAAACCTTTCCATTCAGGTGCCTATCCAAAACATTCCACATATGAACCACTGAAACGTTGACCCTCTGGTCCTCTTTAAATTATTCTCCTCTCACTTTAAAAAGTTTTGAACTCTCAACCCTTGGGTAAAGACCTTTGTTATTCACCTTATTTATGACTCTCATTTTATAATCCTCTACGCTCCAGTGGGGGGGAGAAAGAAAGTCCCAGCCTATCCTTATCTCTCAAACCCTCCAGTCCTGGCAACATCTATTATGTCAGTAGCATGTCAACACAAGCAATTCTTTTGGCACATTCACGATAAACACAATGACTGCACTAATATGCTCATCACCATAGCTACACAAGAACATGTATCAGTATATTCCGCTCAAACTCAGCTTGGGCAGCATCTGTGGAGAGAAAACAGATAACGGTTCAAATCCAGTGATACTTGTTTTTAAGAACCTTGCTTTCTCAACTTTTATTCCCACTAACCTGCCATTCTTGACTCATGTCATGACATAGGAAATAATTTAAGGCTATCAATTAAATTAGTTAGCAGACTTTATCACCAAAAAGATCAATTACTCAACTCACTGTACTGGACATGGTGACTGATACGCCAGCCCACTGTAGAGAGAAAGGGGAGGTGGAATCAGACTATGACTTGGCAGTGTGGAGGAACAGAGGGATCTTGGGGTCCACGTCCATAGATCCCTCAAAGTTGCCACCCAAGTTGATAGGGTTGTGAAGAAAGCGTATGGGGTGTTGGCTTTCATTGGCAGGGGAATGGAGTTCAAGAGCCGCGAGGTTATGCTGCAGCTCTACAAAACCCTGATTAGACCATACTTGGAATATGGTGTTCAGTTCTGGTCACCTCATTATAGGAAAGATGTAGAATCTTTAGAGAGGGTGCAGAGGAGATTTACCAGGATGCTGCCTGGCTGCCTGGAATGGAGGGCAGGTCTTAGGAGGAAAGGTTGAGGGAGCTAGGGCTTTTTTCATTGGAGCGAAGAAGGATGAGAGGTGACTTGATAGAGGTGTACATGATGATGACAGGCATAGATAGTGTGAATAGTCAGAGACTTTTTCCCCAGGGCGGAAATGACTATTACGAGGGGGCATAATTTTAAAGGTGATTGGAGGAAGGTATAGGGGAGATGTCAGAGGTAGGTTCTTCACACAGAATGGTGGGTGTGTAGAATGCGCTGCCGGCGGTGGTACTGGAGTCAGATACATGAGAGACTTTAAGCGACTCTTGGATAGGCACATGGAGGATAGTAAAACATAGGGTAGGTTGATCTTAGTAGGATAATAGGTCGGCACAACATCTTGGGCCAAATGGCCTGTACTGTACCGTTCCATGTTCTATAACAATAAAGAAAAAAAAACAATGCAGTTAAGGACCACATTCCAAGCCGACAAGGAAAATGGTGGGTTTAATTTTAATTCATGTGTTACCCAATAGCAAACAATTTCAGATTACACCCCTTGAGCCTGCTACACCATTCGATAAGGTTATAGTTGACCTGACTGTTGCTTTAAACACCACTTTCCAGTCTATTATACCCTTGATTCAGTCAAAGGAAAAAATATTCAATTATCCATTGCTGAGGAAAGAAAAACCAGAGACCTTGCTCTGAGTACCAAATGAGTACAAGTGATCAAAAAAAAGGTGCCACTGCAATTGGCCTGGACACTGGATTGAAAAGAAGGCTTAGCCATGAGCAGCTTCATTCCATTCACACCTGTCTTATCCCTTTAATTTGGCTACTGTTAAAAGCTTTCAAAAATGTCTTGACAGCGACAGCTATCCCAATACAGATTACGGTCAAAAGGGGAAGGATCAAGTTAATTCATGATTAGTCTTTCTGGCCCAAGTGATGTAGTACTGGATCTAGTGGAGAATTAAAGTGAATGCATTTGGACAACGATGGCCACTATTGTTAACACGAGGTAATTACAGAAAAAAGGGACAAGACTCAAATATTTGTGGGAAGGTCGATTGCTCAAAAGAATGGCTGATGAGGCCATTTCAGTGCTGTGGCGTTGGCAGGGTGGGGGAGCCAGTTGAAGGAATGCACAATTGGAGTAATGGAGAAAAGAACAGATTTGGAAGAGTGTATGCAGATTTCTTGAAGGGAGGGCGCAAAATGATGGGCAGTACCCAAGTAGAGGGAACTGTTGACGGATTAGCCAACACGAGTCAGGAAGGGTAGATCAGTGGGAATAAAGTTGAGAAAGCAGGGTTCTAAAAAAAAAGTGTCACTGGATGTGAACCGTTAACTGTTTTCTCTACGCAGACGCTGCCAGACCAGAGTTTCTTCAGCAATTTGTTTTTGAGGAAGCAAATGATGGGTCTTATTCATAAAGTGAGCTTAGAGAAGGTACATAGGAAGGTAGGAAGGTAGAAAGGATACTGGAAATTAGATTTTATGGTGAGACACAATTTGTTAGAAGTAGCTGATCAGATCTTGCTTTGTTTGTAAAGACAAGATAGTTTGGGGATGGGGCAAGTTATAATGTTGAATAAATTGATATGTCCATTTAAATGACCTATTTCTCCCATTCAAAATGGATATCAACTCATTACACTCCCATTAGAGTTGTGCTCTCTTCAATGATATACAGTTAATAAATTTTACAAAATACCAGACTGAACATAGCCATCCTGCTTTGTTGTATGTACCCATTTCTTAAAATCAGTTCTGGTCTAGTCTCAGATTTATGAATTAATATTCAGAAGCCTTGCACTCTTCCAGTACAACTGCAACGACATCTACCCCGAGTTAGAAAATTGCTGTTATATCTTGTGCTAAATTGGACAAATCCAATTACCAGCTTGGTCTATTCTTGATTAAAGTAATGGGAAAGATCATCAACAGTGCTAGCAAATGCCATTTGCAAAGAAGTGGCCTGCTCACTGGTGTGCCGTTTGGGTTTTGCCAGGACCTTTCAGCTCCTGACCTCACTAGAGTCTTGGTTCAAACATGGACAAATGGACTAACTCTGGGAGGTAAGCAGAGATGAGCAACTGCTCTCCAAATCAAGGCAGCATTTGACCAGGTTCAGTGCCACAGAGCCCTAGCAAAACAAGTGGCAGACATTGACCACCTCCAACATGAATCTAACCATTATCCTTTGATGTTCAATGGCATTACCACCAATGAACTCACTACCATTCGGAGAGTTGCCATTCACCTGAAAATGGAATAGGACCAGCCATAAATAACATTGCTACAAATCAAAGTCAGAGGCTACGAATTATGGTGAGCAACTCATGAATCCCCAATGTTGTCTACTTACAAAAGGCACATGTCAGGATGTGATGAATGCTTTTCACTTGCTTGGATTAGTGGTCCTCCAACAATGCTCTAGAAACTTGAAACCATCCAGGACAAAAGCAGCTCACTTGAATGGCACCTATCCACCTTCAACATCCACAATTTTCCCTAATGCATACTGGCAGAAGTGTGTACCATCTACCAGATGCATTACAACTCACCAACAGTCCCCCAGTAGTTTCTTATAACCGTGTGGGAATTAGATAGTTATAAATGGGAAAGGTATACAAGGTTATAGGGAAGGAGACAAAATGGTAGTGAGAGATTCTAATTTGGAGAGCCAGTGCAGACAACAAACTGAATGGTCTTGTTCTATACAGTGAAAAGTAAAGTTCTATAAAATCAGTGTCTAGGAGATTAGTTTGGAACCTGGGAGGGAAAAAAAAAAAGAAGTGTTAAATTGTGATCACAGCAAACAAAATTAACAGCTTTCATTCTAAAAAGCAAGACTAAAATCAATCCACCTCAGCCAAGAACAGGTCAGTTTAGGAGTAGCCCAGTTGACTAGAAGATGTATAAGGCTCACCTAAAACACAACCTACACCCAATGTTTGCTCAGCTTTAGATTAAATTTATACATAGTTTTCCGAAATGCCAAAGGCTACAACTTCAGATTTCTACAGATAATGTGGAATGAAAAAGTTAACATTAAAATTAATTGAAAATAGCAAATCTTCTAAAATTAAATTTTGGTGCATTTATGACAAAACAGGAACTGCATTTGTTTCATGATCTAGAAAATATTACTCAAAGGCAAAAATTGTTCACAATTTAGTGAGAAGACCCAAGAAATGAGTAAAGACCCATTTAAAAATGACAGAAGGTGGTGGAGGTAGATTTAATTGCAGCTTTCAAAGAGTTGGAATAAAACCAAAAATAATTTTGAAAATGCAAGACTGCAGGAAAGGTTTAACTAAAAATCACTGTTGCAGAAAGCCAACTGACTTGATTGGCTAATGAGCTTCTTCTGATTACAGCACAAAAACAGAAGAGGAGTGACATTAAGATAGAGAGATTTGATGGAACAATAGATTTGACTAAATAAAAATGCTTATTGGAGAGTGGGTTCAGTCTCACATACAAAATTGACTTTTCAGCCTGAGAGGTCCTTGGAATTACTTTGATCTTGATCACGACTTCTGTCAATTAATGATAGAACTGCAAATGAAAAACGTACATGAATTTCCTGAAGATTAAAACCATAACCACTGGCTTTACCAAGAAGAAATGCTACACAAGAGCTCAGATTAAACTTGCTAAAGCCATTAAAGGTTATGACCAGTGTTAAGTACATCGTGATTTACATAACATTGTATTTGCATAGTTGATATAATATTGATCTAATCAATAGCCTTTAGTATTTTGTATGCATATGAATTCGTACATAAAGACTAAATGCAATCTAATTTAGAACAGTCAATGTACCTCAACTGTAGTATTTTTGCAATACAAACAATAGGTAATTTATTGAAATGACTTAGAGATTTGCTATAAATTTCCTACTCAAAACTATGATGCATTAAATACCAATCTCTCCTGGTACCAAGTCTGAGATTGTATTACTCCATGAACACTATGTCAAAAAGCGGCAACGGTTTTTCTGTTAGGTCTTGTAATTTAAGTGTTGTAGCTTGTTTAACCACATGTCCTTTCTCCCATTAGGGGAAGATGGGGCAGGAGGTGATAGGGAATAGTAATCTGGTGATAATCTTTCAGAAAATTACAAAGGGCATGCTCGTGCACTTATAATTGGTTTTCCAACTTTGATGGAACACAGACTTTCAGATTGATTCAAATGGTGAAATTTTCAGTGGCAAAGCAGCAGCACACTATGAACCTTTAACTATACAAATTCTAGCGATGATGGGGATTTCCCCCTTTGAGGGGAGTTTCAATCTGCTCTAGGGTGAAGGTGATCTCCAGTAATGGTGAGGTCGTCAAGCCAGGTAAACAGTCCAACACATTTGAAGCATTCAGATGGAAAAGTCTGCTTTTCCCTCACCTCATTCCCTGCACTGAGGCGGCTGTTCAGCAGTACCTCAGTGAAATGTCAATTACACCTCAAAATGTTTAGCTTTTCTCAAAAAACTAATAATGTCAACAGTCTGTAAGTTCAGCGACTTGTAAGATTGATCTTTGTGGGGTCCTAAACGGTATGCCATGGGAAGCACAGAACCACTGAATTACTTCTAGATTTGTTTAGCTGCGTGTGCAAAGGAATCCAGACATTGTTGCCAGTTTGAGGAGAAACTACAGCAAATGTTGAGTTTCTGGAGTAAACCTTTCATTACTACTGCAAAAATAGCATTTAAAGTTACACAATTGGAGAGAAAGCCTAAATGTACAGCCAAGCACAAATCAATAGGTGTTAGAGTGTGACACACCCACTTCAAACAAACAAGAGGCGAGGCGAGGCGAGGCGAGGCGAGGAGAGATGAAAACTCTACTGCAAATACGGTCAAGGAGTGTGGAACTCAATCTCCTGGAAGTTTCAGGATCAAAATGCCGATATACAATTGTTAACACCAATCAATATTCTGAAAACACAATTGTTGCTTCGCTGTATTCACTGCAACACTTGTACATTACCCTTGTAATTTCACATCATGAAAGGCTGTTTGTAGTAATTAATAACTGTACCATTGTATTAATGGATGTGGTCAAATAAAATTCAGTTGTGATTGCTATACCAATTCAAATCTCAAGTTTACACTGTCTCGATGCTCTCCTACAGTGGTTTCAGCATTACTATAGTTCATATCTTTTAGGTGGTATTGGTCTACACCTCATGAGTTACATTTTGCCATCTTTATTTTTTTTTACACAAAAAAGTTTGTACTAGTAATCTGGGGGTTAGTTAGCTGGACAGCTGGTTTGTGATGCCAACAGCATGAGCTAACTGCCCATACTGGCTGGAGGTCACTTTCTCAATGCTTGCCCAAGGCATTGTAACGCTCAGGTTAACCTCACCACCAGTCATTTCTCTCGAAATGAGAACAGCCCTGTGGTCCTCTGGGAGTATGGTGACTACTAGAATACATTGCGACAGAGATATAGTGTCACAAAGCACAAACATACCCTTTGGTCCAATTTGTCCATGCTGATCCAGTTTACCAAACTAAACTAGTCCCATTTGCCTGGGTATGGCCCATATCCCTCTAAAGCTCTCCTATTCATGTACCTATCCAAATGTCTTTAATGTTGTAAGTGTGCTTACATTTACCCCTTCCTCTGGCAGTTTATTCCACATATGTACCAATCTCTGCGTGAAAAAGTTGCCCCTCAGGTCCCTTTTAAATCTTTCTCCTCACCTTAAAAATATACCACTTAACTTTGAACTCCGCCACCCCGGGGTAAAAAACCTTTGCTATTCATCTTATTTATGTCCCTCATGATTTTAAGCCTCTAAGGCCACCCCTCTCCCCCCAAAATCTCCTATGCTCCAGTGAAAATTTCTAGCCTCTCCCTATAACTCAAACCATCCAGTCCTAGCAACATCCTGGTAAATCTCTCCAATTTCATGTCCTTTCTACAATTCTGGTTGCCCTGCTATATGCAGTACTCCAAAAAAAAAAAATGGCCTCACCAATATCCTGTACAACCTCAACATGGCATCCCAACTCCTATACTCAATGGTCTGAACAATGAAGGCAAGTGTGAAATACCTCCCTATCCACACAGAAGGCGTTTAACCCTTTGAAAGGTGTGTCACAGGGTGGCTATGAAACAAACCAGTGAATAAAAACAGTGTGCCATAGGATATACACCACTCTGATGGTAGCTTGTATCCAATTGAAACCTGTTCACTCATCAGCTGGCACTTGGTGACCTATGCTGGCATTACTTAAATGAGTTAGTTTTAATACTAACTATTTCAAATCCCTTCTGATCTCCTGCACCCAGTCCATAACCCTTAGATTGGCATTCCTTCAACTCTAGCTTTAAGCTTCTCAACTAACTGCTGAACCATTGGTGTTCACGCTTCACCTACTAGGAGTCCAAACTCTTCCAAATCTGCTCCTACACCGTGTTTTTCCCTACTTGTGACATCACTTCAAAAACCTACTTTGGTCAATTTTTCCATCATTTCCCATTACCTCCTTGTATGGAGGTGTCAAATTTGGTCTTTTAATGCTCCTGAAAAGAGAAGCTGGTGATTCAAGTCAGATCTTTTCCAAGAGGGGGGCGCAAAGTGCCCTGAAAACAAGTTAAACAAATAATTAGAGTTTTGGGAAAGACCAAAAAAAAAAAAATCTATATATTTGACATAGAGAGTCAAAAGATCCCCAACTATGATTTGGGCATTTTCAAACCATAGTACAGAATACTTGATAGAGTGTAAGACACTCAAATCCAATTTATTTGCTATGAATTAAAATGGAACCCATGTTTCAAAAAAATTCAGTAGACTGGAATCTCACTGTACAAAAAACTGACACTGGAAGGTTAATATTCAATGTGCAAGGTTAAACAAGAAAATAAAGTGGTCCATAAAGAGCTGAAATTAGACATGGTTGTTGAGAATTTCCAAAACACTTTTAAAAAGGAGGTACTGACCAAAAAGCATCAGACTGACAAGCACTTTCTAGAGCAAAGAGGAAAAAAATAAATTGCCCGAGGAGCAAAGCTCTCTCCTTGGTTTTACAAGTCATCCACTTAGGAGAGAAAAAAAAAGTGATTCAAATCACGTTTGGTACAATAATTGTTACAAACCGACAACAAAAGCTCGTCATTTAACACTTGAATTATTACTAAATAACGGTGTAGAGAATCTTAAAAAATGCATAACAGCATAAATTCTTGCCATGATTCAAATGAGGCCACAACTTAAACTCAAACACATGGAATAATTTTTGGTAAAAGAATAGGACTAGTCAGTCCAGAGGAAGTCAGAATGGGGGCCTGCACTTTACAACATGCCTAACATTTATACAAATCTTAAACAATGTGAATGGAGCCTCAATGGTCATGGGAACAGGTTGGTTGTTTTTGTTTTACAAAAAAAAAAGTGCCTTATGCCCATCATAAATGATAGCTGCCAAATAGTTGCCATGTGAGCAACAGAATAACTGCATAAAAACTAAATTGGGGATGTAATTTCAGAACTACTGCTCAAAGATTTTAAAAATAGTCTAATATGGACAGAATGGATGTAGATTGCAAAACAATAATGACTACACAAAATGGTTTATAACTATGTTAAATTTAAACAAACATTCGCAAAACTATTCATTAGAGTTACCCAATCTTACTAGAGTTCTGACCAAGTGAATGCAATTACATTCTTGCTGGCACTTGACTCCTCAGGGATCATGTGTCTCCCTGTAGTTTATTCAAAAGAACAAAAAAAGATAAACCTCAAATCATTACAAGCAAGCTATGACCAAGTTACAAGAATCATCCTCTTCTCAGCTGGAGGTTACATACAGATATATACATACACTGAGGAATGGGAACCTTTAATTTCTTTGCCCCCCATCAACTAACACTCAAGGTCAGAGTGGCCAACTTCAACAACCTATCTTTACCCAGTTAGAAGACAACTCAGCATAGCCAAGAGATCAAAAAGACACGATTAGATGTCTCATCCAAAGAAACAGATCTTGAAGATTTCTCAGGCTGGGAAGAAAAGAAGCATGCAATAAATATTTTAGACAAGCTGAGTATTTAATTTGTTTTAAAAGGTGAAAGCACTAGACGACCTACAAAAAGCAGATTGAGAAGAATTCTTGAAATACACAGGTACTTTATTCTGAAGAGTGCCTTCAGCCATCATCTCGCATTTCTTGCCAATCCCAGTTCACTAGTTATACAGTTTCCAATAGTTTGGTGCGAGGAGCGAGAAGCATTAAAAAAGTAGAGCGCTTTGATCATCTTGCATTTGGCTCATCATGTAGCAGCACTGGTCCATGTCCATACTAAGTTTTGCAACTGCGGCAGTTAAAATTGCAGTCATGATTTAAAGAGAAAATCAAACCAATACAAAAGTGTTAAGTCCGCCGACACCTTTTCCGTTGGCAAGCTTCAGTGTCTACTAATGAACTTTCAGAATCACTGCCCGATGAGCTGCATGCAGCCTCTTTGCCACTGCCTTCATGATTCATAGAAAGAACCCAACCCAATCGATTGCGGAGTATGCGCTTCAAACCCGGGGGTAGGGGAAGAACCTCCAATTTGTCACTGTGATCAGGTAATAGCTGTCGCAGCCTTAGGCAGCAGAGATACTGGAGAGAGGTTGGGGAGAAACGTGATCTAATCACTTTCATACTGCTCCTTGCTGCAGTTGAACAAACCATTGGAAAGAACTTCTTGTTCTGCAGCTTAGTAGCTGCGATTCCTTTGTAAAGAAAAACACTTGTTAAATATCAGCCAGACACAAGTTACCATAATACAGCAATATTTTGGAACTACTGGAAAAAGTCGTACCAAATTCAAACTGCTGAAATATAGTACAATTTGGTTTTGCTACATCAGCTAAATGCCGTGAAGAAATAAGACAATTTTAAGAAGTGTGGATGATTAAATATGGTTGATATTTTAGGAGAAAACAAAAAAAAGTGCTAACAATGACTAAAATCTATTTTAAGCAGATGAATTGCAGATACACACACACACACACACACACACACACACACACACAATCTGGAAAAGTATTTTTTCAAACCTTTCAAATTGCAAGATAACAGCAAAGGCAAACTTCCACTGCTACGACCCTGATTACTATTGTTATTTATACAATACGTAGCAAAAAAACTGAATTCCATGAAAATAAATTGTACACAGAATATTGTTTAGTCTTCAGTGCTCTGCAGGTGCACATACTATACATTGGCAGTAACAGCACTACCACAATTTACTGTATAATTAAAATAAAATTCAAAGGCTTCGTTGTTTTCAGATCTGATATAACAGGATTAAAGTTTGTCAAAAAAAAAGGCACTGCTTTAGCCAATGCACTGGACAGTCCTGGTGGTTATTTGGAATACTTAGTGGTTAGATTTCTCAGCTACTGTAGACAAATACAGAGCATCACAAGTTTGCCATGCGAGGGCAGAAAGGACTTTAAAGGACTTGCATTTAGAGGGCAGAGTTTGCAGCTTTGTTTTTAAAGCAAAGCTAAGGCCCTAAAAAAATGATCATATCTTACAAATGATATACTCTATTATTTATAAATCACCATTTTTATTTGACTTTTTTTCTTACACTTTAATTTGCAACAGTGGATCAGTATGCAAACTGATATGATCATCAGGCAATATTAAAAATTTTACAGATAACACGTGGAGCTGGAGGAACACAGCAGGCCAGGCAGCATCAGAGGAGCAGGAAAGCTGACATTTCAGGTCAGGACACTGCTCCAGAAATGGGGGAGGGGAAGGAGGCTCTGAAATAAATAGAGAGGGGGGTTGGGATGGTGATAGGTGAGTACAGGTAGGTAATGGTGGGGATTGGTCAGTAAGGTGGGAGGAGCAGATAGGTGGAAGAGAAGACGGACAGTTCAAGGAGGCGGGGATGAGAGGGAGGGTCTGGTGTTGGGATGAGGAATTTTAAAGCTAGTAAAGTCCACGCTGAGACCACTGGGTTGTAGGCTCCCAAGGTGGAATATGAGGTGCTGCTCCTCCAGTTTCCGGGTGGCATCGTTGTGACACTGGAGGAGGCCCAAGATGGACATGTCGTCCAGGGAGTGGGAGGGGAAGGTGAAGTGGTTAGCGACTGGAAGGCATTGTCGTTTGTTGTGAACAGAGCGCAGGTGCTCTACAAAGCGGTCTCCGAGCCTCCGCTTGCTCTCACCGTTGTGGCCTCCTCTACATCGGGAGCAGCGGATGCAATAGACTACATTAGCGGATATGCAGGTGAACATCTATCAGATGTGGAAGGTTTTTTTGGGGCCTGGGATGGAGGTGAGGGGGGAGGTGTGGGGGAAGGTGTAGCACTTCCTGCGGTTGTAGGGAAAGGTGCCAGGGTGGGGCTAGTGGGGAATGTGGCGCGGACGAGGGAGTTGCGGAGACAGCGGTCCCTACGGAAGGCAGACAAGGGTGGGGAGGGAAATATATCCTTCGTAGTGGGGTCGGATTGCAGGCGGCAGAAAATGATGCGTTGAATCCGGAGGTTAATGGGGTGATACGTGAGGACAAGGGGGATTCTGTCTTTGCTTTTATTGTGGGGACGGGGTGTGAGGGGTCGATCACCAAAGGGGGGTGGGGGTGGGGGGGTGTAAGTTGCGATCCTTGAAATACGAGGGCATCTGGGATGTTCAGGAGTGGAATGCCTCATCTTGGGAGCAGATGCGGAGGAATTGGGAGTAGGGGATCGCATTCTTGTAGGAAGGTGGGCGAGAGGAGATGTGGTCTAGGTAGCTGTGGCAGTCCAGGGAGACTCCCTGGATGACATGTCCATCTTGGGCCTCCTCCAGTGTCATAACGACGCCACCTGGAAACTGGAGGAGCAGCACCTCATATTCTGCCTTGGGAGCCTATAACCCAATGGTCTCAATGTGGACTTTACTAGCTTCAAGATCTCCCCACCCCCTTGTCCTGGCCCAACCTGTCCGTCTTCTCTCCCACCTATCCGCTCCTCCCACCTCACTGACCAATCCCCACCACTGCCTACCTGCACTCACCTATCACCATCCCACCTACCTTCCCCAGCCCAACCGCCCAACCACCCAAACCCACCACACCCCCGCATTTACTTAAGAGCCCCCTCCTCCCTCCCCAATTTCTGAAGAAGGGTCCAGACTCACAACGTCAGCTTTCCTGCTCCTCTGATACTGCCTGGCCTGCTGTGTTCCTCCAGCTCCACATTGTGTTATCTCAGACTCCAGCATCTGCAGTTCTTACTATCTCAATATTACTTTTTAAATTTTTCAAGGAACACTAGGCAAGATGAAAATGCCACTGGATAAAACTAGATCTTACCTATGCATTTTCTATTTTTGAAGAATGTCAGGGTACCATGCCAGGTATCCAAATGAACACCTATGATAGAGCCTTGCCCAAATCTTGTTGAGAAGTGAATCTTGGCACCTTTGTGATGTAGTACACCTACAAAACAAACGATGTATTTGTAAAAAAGGCTAAAACCTATACAAAGTCATCTGTCACATGCAAAATATACAAATAAAGGTAGATTCCTTCAAATATAAAACAAGTTCTAATGGAAAGTAAAACAAAGTTTAAAAACTTGGTGACAATTTCAGTCTTTTGTAAGACTTGGTCTATAGAGTTCCAAGATCTCTTAGTCTGAGGATCCTTTTCATAAAGATAAACTTCAAAAAATTGCACCAGTAGAAAACAGTATATGCAAAAATATTGTGCATAGTTAATCCTGTATGCACAGTAATTCAGTGTGGATTACAAGAACCATTTCACTTCGTTCTTCCAATTTGTCCCTGGTTTTGTGATCAACTTATATTTTGCTATTCCCATCCATGGTCTTACTCATGTCATTTATATATCCAAAGCACGGTGGAACAGCACCTCAAAGATTTGAGCAGTTACTGTGCTCTGCAGTAAGAGACAACCAGTCCCATTCACAGCTGATGTGCTTTCTTGGCTGGAGATGAAATGGAAAAGGCGGACAGGTTCTAAAGACTGTGCCACTGCAGCCACAATCACTGAATATACCTGGTCTACAAATGCCATGGAGATAAAAAGTAAATTGAAAGAAAAGCAAGGGCTGGCAATGTTTAAATGAAAGATCAAAATTAAGGGAAAGAGTACTTATTTTTAACTATTTCACAGGAGTGGTACCTGTATAGGAGAGCCCCCAACTATTTTCATCTTTTCCCAGTAGACTGCAAAAGGTATGACGAAATTTGTCCAGTTTGACATCAGTTGTTCCTATTCCTACCATCTAAAATAGTGCACAAAAATAAACAAATTATGACGATGCAGATAAATATTGTAGTCACTCTTGTTGGCATTGCTAATATAAAAAATTCTAAATATTGCTGCTCAGAACAGAATAGTCACTAATTTCTCTTGCAGGTTTCAGTGAAGTGATTAATAATACTTGTTTGGTGTAATATTACAATGTTTGGACTTAATACTGCCCAAGAGGATATTAGAGGAGAAGAATAGCAAATTAGCACAAGTTGGATCATTTTCCACAAGAAAGATTTTATTTCAGCTCAGAAAGATCCTAAGCTAGCCATTCAGTAATTAAACATGAAGACCAGCTTTCTGCAATGTGAAACTGTCAATGAACTAAATAAGTTCACACTCTGATCACAATCTTGCACATTAAATCGTATACATGTTCAACTTTATACCAAAATGGTTGTGTTTGACCAAATCTTCATTGCTGAATAATCAAAGCTTTCTGAATGGAGCTCAAAGAATGCAGTCGCCACATCAGTTGATTCATTAAGCTACAAGTTCGCCTTTTCAGATGCCAATGAATATGTTGCGTAATAGATCCTAGGTTGCTTAAAAAGAAGTGAGCAATAATTTCAAACTGCCGTAAAGCACAAAAATCAATTACACCACTCCTATTTCATGTGAAGCGTCATGCATTTCAGACAAGCATGTGATCCAATGAATACCGTAATAAATACTTAATCACCTCTAATGGAAAGACAGTTTACACGACTCAGCACTGATTGCATGAATAAATTTAAGAAATAAATAGCATCTTATGACCCACTTAGCCACATGTACTTAATCTCCTCCACATGGTACGGGGTTACAACTTCAATTGCAATTTGCTAATCTTCATTTAGTGAAACTAACATTATTCTACTAAGTTAGTAAACTCACTAATGGGTGAATAATACACTTTAAGTTTACTTTAATTCATTTGCTGGCTTCCTTGTTTAATCAAAAAAAAACAAGTGCAGCAACAAACAATTTACAAACCAGCCACTAGACTGCATTTAGAATTCTCTACTTTCTCCTTTTGGCCCAGAATGAGAACAAGACACATTAATACCGTAAATGGCCTCTCAGTCAGAGTTAACTGATTGATACAGATAATATACATTAAAACATTGTTCAAGATGACATTAGCCAAAAAACACAAAAAGCTTTATCTTAAAATCAGCGATCAAAGATGAGCATACGCTGTACAAAAATGAATGCACACAAAACTGTTCACTAACTCCTCAATCTCACCTTTTAAATCAAAATACCAAAAAAATTACAATTGCACAGTTTTGCGGCATCCCTCAAAATGAGGTCATTACCTTGCCTGGAAGGATCATTTCCTGCCAAGCCCACAACCACTTTCATCTGGAATGACATGGGCAGCAGATACGTGGAAACATCACCACCTGCAAGTTCTCAAAGCCATTCACCATTCTGACTCGGAAATATGTCCCAGTCCCTTCAGAATCACTAGGCTGAAATTCTGGAATTCCCTCCAAAAGTAGCACCATGGGTCTATCTACAGCATATAGACTGCAGCAGTTCAAGGTGGCAGCTCAGCACCACCTTGAAGGGCAACTAGAGATGAGCAATAAATGCTGGTCCAGCCAAAGTCCACATCCTGTGAAGAACCAACTTAAACTTCAATTCAAAAGATACACAGACAAGCCATTAGATATTTACTGTACCTACCATATCTGTACCATATACAGGCGACGTCATTTTTATTTCCCAGAAGTGCTGGCCTTCACTCATTTCCTTGTCCCCACGGATGGCTGCTGTTCCACAACTGTAATCCATGTGGAAATTTACTTCTCTGTTCTCGCAGCTCAGCAGTGTAGCTGAGGACTTGGTAGAATCATCCCACATCCACTCAAAATCTGCAGGGAGTTTTTATTAGTTTTTCAAACTCTCACCAGTCACATTATAAAACACATTTTAAACACTTGTTTACAGGAACATTTGGAAAGTTAACAGAGACAAACCAATACAAAATTTAAAGATGTCACATTTGTTTCAAGTAGTTAAGGCAGTGGAAGAGGAATATGCTTCATTCTTAAATTAACACTCCAATTATCAGAATATTCTGTCATCACCTGTTGATCAAGTTGGGAAACCTGCACTGCCTGCACCTTAACTATTAATCCTTTAAGTTGATGTCACTGTCAATACCGTAAAGCCAGAGTACATAGACTTTAACTACATCTCCTATTACATTCCAAGGCAATGAAGTGAAAAAAAGTTGGCACAATGGGCTCACCTACATCACACGATCTACCAGAAAAATGGCAGCAATTTGATGGCTATAGTCTTGCATGGTTTGGATTTCTGCTACAAAACGGTCACTAAAACAGAGGGATTAAATTTTATCAAGACCAAATCATCCACTATTCTCTCTTCAGTCCATTTGATCAATTTTAACTTAAATGCTAGATTTGAAGTACTGTTCACAATGGTACCAGGAATTCTTTAAAAAAGTGCAAACCATACGGAGAACTGCTATGCAAGCATATTGCAGCCTAATTTTCACTAAGTTGACCACTGAACCTCAAACTTGTATTTAGTACTGGGACACTGTCAGAAATGGGTACTGCAAATTATTAAATTTGCAAGTGATCTAGTTTGAAACCCTGATGCATACCATGAGGAATTTTGAAAATTTCAGGTGATAAAGCATTGCACCAGGATTAAACAATTCTATGATCCTTTAATATTAGCCCCGCACACTTAACTGCTGTCGCATCAAAGTGTTATCAAATCTCTCAAACAAAGTAATTTTTATTTATCCTTACATTCATCCTCCTCGCCACAGTGACAATCCTTCATGCGATGGAAGCTACGCATACCACCACAATACCGGGCATCACTTTGACTCGCACAGTCACAGTATGACTCCCCCGTCACAGGTAGTGCTGTTGGGATGGACGGTGGCAAGTGGAATTCTGGTTCAGAATCGGAGTCACTGTGCTTTAAGAAATGAAATAACATGTGACAAAGTTGCCAATTTCTGGGATTAAAAAGTTATTCTTTCATGATGTAGAGGCTACTTTGTTTGCAGTGTGAACTTAATTGGGAAAGGATGTGGCTTTAGAACAAGGGACTGTGGAAGATGTGGTAGTTTAAAACACAGGGAGGGCTCACTTGACAAGGTTGTCTTCAATAGTGGGTGCACACTAGCAGTTTTGCCCAGCAACAGACTGTTGATCTGTTTTTCCAACCAGGATTAGCTATGTTCCGGAATACTCAGCATGCCTAACAAATTCTTAATTGGTTCCTAGGATAGTGGCTGTGACTATATTTGCCCAATACAGCCAAAAACACCCAGACTTTGAAGGAGAAAGCAACTCCTTATTTATCAGTTCAGATGAAAATTCATAGCAGATAGTTGCTTTCTGCAAATTCCTAAAAAAAAAACAAAAAAAAAATGGGACGGGGTGAAACACCTTCAAAGACACTTATGGCACAAATCCTCAACTGGAGGGTTAGAATCTATGTTTACAACTTCATCCTCAGCCAAAAAGACTCCATACGGAACTGCAGTTAACCATTTAAACGGATTCTGTAATGCAGACTGGTGCCAGAATAGTGCTGTATTTTGCTTCTTTACCAACTATAAAAGGTGTGTGTCTGGTGTCACGTGTATGGGAATTCAAAAAAAAAAAAAACAGGTTAAAGTCAAAGTTAACTACTAGTATTTTTGTTTTGAACTAAATCCGTTTGCAATAAATAGCTGTCTTCCTGTTAAATACAAAAATCTGGTGAGTGTTCTTTGAAACCAGGTTTCAACAGTCAGGTAAACTGGGATCTTGAGATAGTTTGACTAAATCTTTACTCATTTGTGACAAATCTAGGAATAAGTGGCTTGCTTTCCAGTACACTATTCCAAGCGAGTCATGACAACAGGATATTTACTTGTTAATCCAGTATTTACTGCCCACTCCAATTAGAAATGGTGGTGGTGAGCTGCCTTCTTGAACTCTAGTCTATGTGGCATAGGTACACTAGTTTTGATACTGTATAGTTAGATCTTCCTGTAAGTTTTTTACAATAGCAAAATTGAGGATTAGATAAACAATAAAATTTGTCTTTATACATTTAAAACTACATTATAAATTGAAAATAGCCCCCACAAATGCCTCATTTATTATTTTGGTGCTAACAAGAAAATACAGCCAAGGTCAGCAAAAACAACTTTTCCAAGAAAGAGACTTTTGAAAGCTGATACAAGGCTCCAGTTATTATTTAGTTGCAAAAACTAACTACATTAACTCAAGCACTGCGACAGAAGGAGCAAAGATTTGCACTTTATTGCAGGAATATTTGGCCAGCTCTTGTGCACCAATAATAAAGAAATTGAATGTAGACTCTCCCAACTTGGAGCCTAATAAAACTTGGGTAAGTTGATCAGAGTCTACACCGGTGGGGGAAAGGCATAAAGAAGAATTGTGCTCAATTTCACCAGGTAACATCTTCCGCCCCCCCCACTGAGTCATGCCCAATATATTAGAAAATCAGAACAAATAAATTTGGGACTTTACCATGATAATAAAGCATATTCTGAAAATTTAGCAGAGAAAAAAAAAGCAAAGCCTACTAAAGATACTGGAAATTCAGGGGAGAAAAACCAATCAGTACAGGCTGGAATAATCCAAATCAGAGAGAGTACCTATGCAGAGAAACAGTTAGCAATGTCAGGTCAGTTACCCTGGATTAGCTTCAAGTGGTGGCTGCAGCAGCAGTGGCAAGAAACATTAATTGTATGCACTAAAAATATGCCTGATTAGAGTATTCCTAGAATTTGGTTGCCCAGAATTTACCAAATTGTTTTTAAGTGGTGGGCTACAATATAAAGATGATAAAAAAATCTAAGTGAAACAGAGAGACTAAATTTTCAGTTTTTAGTGCAAGTTTGGGCCAGATACTGCCTTTATTTGGTGGTGCAAACGCTAAATATAAAAATAGCTATAGAAGCTATTATAGAACTATTACTGCAAAGATTTATTAAAAAAAAGTGCTATTGAACTTGGAAATAAGCTTCTCACCGTTGAGAACAACTGCATGCTCAGTTTTAAGCAACTGAACTCAGAAGCAAGCCCCTTATTGTGCACTTGACGTTATCAATTGCTAATACTTTAATGTACTTATCCTGTGTAAGGTAAACCTAAATTTAGTCCATATAGAAAGTGAATTTTAAAAGGAGAACGTCTGTTGGTCAGCAAATAGTAGACTATTAGGTCAGAGACTAACAGATAGGGATTTGTGTCGGTACTGGGTTAATTACAACTGGCTTCAGCTAAGAGGGATCTCACATTTGGCAGGAAATTGACTATATGATTTTACTCATCTGCAGACTACTCAGTCTGTAAAACAGGTTAGCAGCAATGCAATATTTTGTATTATTACCTACCTGACCATCTGAGTCATAGCCAGGGCCAGGACCAACTGATCCATCAGGCATCACTACAGCTGCAGCATCAGTATCTCGAATACCGCTGTACACATACCGCCAGGCACGATTATTTCTGGTACGACGAGACATGGTGTCCATAAAACCTGCAGCACAGGAATATTTGTACAAAAAAAAAAGTCAGCAAATAAAGAGGACAGCTTTAAAAAAAAAACTGACTTAAGAACATTAGCCAATTCTTAAAAATCTCTCCCCAATTAAGTTTTTTTGACAGTATACTCAATCTGCAGATTTTTAGGAGATAACTAAAACCTAAAGTTGTTAATTTGCATAATACCCTCCATGTTTAAAACAGGTGCCACAAAACCCAACTGCTGTAAAAATAGCAGAGGTGTACAATGAGCCTAAATGGACAAGCCAGATTCCTGAATAAAACCTGGCTTGATTAATCATGTTTCAATTTTAGTTGGTTACCATGGCAGTTAAATCACTGAACATACTTCACGAGAATGCCAAGTGTTGTTGAAAAGAACACTTTGCTATAGGAAACAAAAACTAAGTGTATGAGCAAGTCAATGAAAAACTTTCAAACAGCAAAAAGCAAAGCAGAAGAATTTTCAGTCTTTCAGTAGCACAATGGGAATTTAAAAACCTGGCTCTTGACAAAAAGCTTTCTCCATAAGATTCTGATCTCTCCATTAAAGCCTTGAGTGATAATTAAATTATTTCCATGTATTTGCATCTCATATTAGCTGATCTTGTCTCACAGACAATGAAGCTCACTGGTTACTTCCCTGGGCCTCTACTTTCAGGCCCATTAACTAATCTTACTGCAGCCTCCGTGGGTAACAACGACTTGCACCCTTTGAAATAGCTCCAGAGGCCAGTATCCCATCACCAAGTCACACTTTATTTACATGTACATAGTATTTGACACTGGTCCAGCTTCCTCAGAGCCAGCTCTCAGTGAGCAGAACCTCTGGCACTCCTGCTTATTCGGTCAGTCAAGGCTCCCTAATTGGGGCTGTCAACCTGGTCCAATCAAGGATCTCAAAGGTTCATCTGGCTGACATCTTTACAATCAATCAATCATTATCTCTCCCGCTTTGAGTCTGGGGACATAGGCTGGTTCTTTTATCTTGTAACCTCTCCCGGGTGCTTTTGCACTGGGTCCGGTTCCTTCAACTCAGCCTCTGATACAAGTGGCGTACCCCATCTCTTGCGTGCAGAGCGCTTGGGAAGAAATTCATCCTCTTCTTCAGGCGGTAAAGGCATTGAGTTGAGGGTATGACATCTGTGTCCATCTCAGACTCAGAGGTTTCTTCGATGCTAGATACTGGGGTGGGGGGTTGTGGAATGGAAAGAAGAATCCACAGGTTCCAACAGCCTTTCTGGCTGTTCCGAGGGACCGACGTTTTGCTCCTGCCCCGTTTGCAGGATTGCAGCTTTGATATGGTCCACGTGGTTGTTCAGGACCACCTCACTTATCTGAACTTTAAGTCATAGGACCTGACCTTGCATCAACTATGCCTCTTAACCCTGCAGGGCCATCTCTGTGGGTCCCGCACCGAACTCTGTCCCCTGAACTAAAAACTTTCTCTCTTGCTTAGAGAAGTCTTGACTCCAGTACTGGCATTTCTGATGCCATTACACTGCCCCACCCACCACCCAACCCAGGTCCTGGAACATCACATTTAAACCTGGTGCGGGGTCATCTCCCCATTAGTGACTCTGATGGAGCTACCTCTGTTAGTTGTTGCATGAGGGGTGGTCTGATAATCAAATAGGAACTGGGACAGTTTGGTAGAGTGAAACTGTGTGCTTTTTCTTCAAGCCTGTCTTCAAAGTTTAGACTGCTCTTTCTGCCATACCATCCTTTGTCCATTATTCTGGAGCTGTCCTTAAGCAAGGATTACCATTCAACTTCAGGAAATATTCAAATTTCCTGCTTGTAAACGATGGCCTGTTGTCGGTGACCAACACTTCTGGAAGCCCACGTATTGTGAAAGATGCTTGCAGGTTTACTATTGCCATCTGTGTTTGATGAATGAACTGTTACGCATGTCCAACTACTTTGCAAGGGTATCCACAATGGCTACAAACATTAAGCCGATGAAAGAGCCGACATGCGAATCGGGTCCAGTGTTTATCTGAAGGGGAGGGAGCTGCTGGCAGTAATTTTTCCACCACCCCCCCACCCATTGTTGGGGATCTGGGCACTGCCCCACCACAGCCATGTCTGCGTCCAAACCTGGTTGCCAGACATCTTCATTTCGAGTATCCCTGGTGAAGTTCAGCAAGCATCTGACAGCAACCTTTGCTCAAGGAAATCACCCTGGCTCTCCAAAATAACATGCTGTCCTCTATGGTGATCTGGTCTCTCCAGGTCCAGAAAGGTTTCAATTCTGGTTATAGCTTTTTGGCTTCCCCTAATCACCAACAGGTGTTTTAGTTTTGTCAGGACTGGAACTGTTTGTCCACAGTCTGATATGGTCAGCGGTGACCAGAAGTGCCCAGAAAGTTTAAAACCAGAACAGACTCTTCCAGTGGCAGCATTACCACCGGAAATAGCTCAAGGTATCCAAATTTGTTACTTGGCCTCCCAGTGTTCAAACTTGCAACTGTACACACTTAGAATGACAACCTGATGCTGAATTTGACTTGAAGCTATAGGCAGCACAGCCTTGACCCGAGTAGCCCTAACAGGGGTTTGTGGTCTGTTACTACTACAAATTTACATCTTCAAGTGGAACTTTCTCACACGAAAGAGAAGGAAAGTTTGGTGGTCATCTATCTGGGCGTATTTGCGCTCTGCATTAGCCGAAGTCCGGGGAAACAGAGTATTGAGGGTTCCTCTCCATTGGGCCGCCTAATGAGCTGACACTACCCTGATAGTGCATGGGGAGGCATCGCATGTCAACACCAGATCCCTCTTTGAATCAGTGTGACAACCCCTTAGACAATGATTGCTGCTTCTTCACTTTCCAAAAGGCTCTCTCTTGGCTACAAGACCATTTCCAAGCCGGACCCTTTTCCGGCAGATGTATGGGTGCCAGGATGGAGGCCAGGTTATGCGTGAACCTTTCGTAATAATTCACCAGCCCAAAAGGAAAGACCTAAACTCCAGTACAGACATGGGAGCCAGGGCACTTTTAATCACCCTCACTATCTTCCAACGAGTGTAACAGGGTCTTGTTGACTCTGTAGCCCAAGTAGGTCACTTGAGGTGCCTGGAACATAGATATTTCTCCAAGATGGGACAAATGTAAGAATTACATCCAAATTCTATTTTTCGGTCTTCCCTGTTATTACCATGTCATCCAGATAAATGGGGACCTGGGGCAGACCTTGTAGAGCGTTCTCCACTATCTGCTGAAAAATTGCACAGGCTAAAAATAGCTCGAATGGCAGCCTCGTACTGTACAAACCCTTATAGTATAATCAACTGTAGTATACTTCTGGGAATCCTCATTAACTGCAGTTGCAGGTATGCATGGCTCATGCCCAGTTTCGTGATGGACAGTCCCCCTACCAGCTGTGCATAATAAATCCTCTATGCTAAGGGTTGAGTGTTTATCCAGCTCCAAGGAGTTTGTCATTTATTTAAAACCCCACTGACCCAATCGGTACAACCAGTACTACCCATTCTACAATGTGGACTGACTATTCCTTTGCTTTCCAACCTCTGATTTCTGCCTCTACTTTTGCATGCAAGGCAGATAGCACAGAGCAGGCCTTGCAGAATCATGGAATTGCTTCCTGGTCAACATGCAAAGTGGCCTTGGCTCCTTTGATAGTCCCTAGACCTTCCTGAAAAACTTCCAGGTATTTGCACAAGTGAAGTCCTAGTTTGTCTCGGTCATTTTCTGATTGAGAGATTCACTTAGTGCTATTCAAACACTTTTGCCCCAGATTTGGGCCCCATGCTTTTCACTACAAATCAGTGGTAATTGAACCAGCTGCTTCTCATGGAGAGCAGAACAAAAGTTGTATCCTTAATCTGTAAAGGCTCCCTGGTGTGGGTTCTTCATCTGCTGACATCTTGTGCAATTCTAAGGGTTGGAAGCCACAGCGAATTTTGTTAAAGACTGGTTCTGCAATCACTAACACAGCTGTGCTGGTATCCACCTCCATTAGAACCACGTGATTGTTTACCCACACATTTTTGATTGGTTCTGATTTGGATGTCACTAAGCAATTTAATTGTTCCAAACCAGATGCAGGGAGACTTTCCAGGATTACACTCTTCCAGATATCAGCCTGTTAAGATCTTACTCCGTTTAGAGGTCTAGTGGGACTCCTTTGCTGTCGAGTCTGCATACCAGCAGCAACAACAGTGGCATGCTGGCCCTGATCCTGAAGAAAATTTTAACCATTTAGCCAAGACTTCGATGTGTTTTGGGGTTTTGCTGCTCACTGACCTAGAGTTGCTCTGATCAGGGTATGTCCTCACTGAGGCTATGCAATTGCCTTCAGAGTGGTGTGTCCCAAGCTCAGTCAGACTGGCAATGATGTCCACTTCCATCAGAATACCCTGCAACTCAGTACGCCACTTGCTGCATTTTCCAATGTTAAAGCCAGTAACAATACTCATTTGAAGTCCATGTGGGCTTTGGCTAGTTGTTTTTGCATGGTTAATCATTAATCTCACATCAGCCTCTCATTAAAGGGTGAAACCAAAGTCACATGCCTCTTCCAATTATCTTCACCTAGTCAAAAACCAACACAGATTTCTCCTGGTTCTTGAATTGCTGAGCAAAACCAGTAGTATCTCAGTCTTTGAGGTGGCCGGGGTTTGGGAGGGTGGCGGTCATGCTATTCCTTAACTAAATCTGTTAACTCTTGGAAGACTTGAGCATCTGGTGCCTCAGGGAAAGTCAGGCTCCTGATAACAAATAGCTATGGGTCTACAACCACTCAGAATTAGTTGATATTTTTCATCTGCCCAGAAAAAAAATAATGCATTCTTTCTGCATACTTGACTCAATCTGTGACTGCAGGATCGAATGAGTCAAGCTTCCCAAATAATAGCATGATACCAGAAATGCTTACATCAACTCAAAGATGAGTTGTAAGTGAATTTCTTCAGGTGTGCGCTTTTCTGTCATTACCACAAATAATTCCAGAGGCTTGTATGCCATCTCGT